TGGGGGGCGCTTTTCTTTCCCTTTTTTTTCGTCAGAGTGCTAGGAAACTCATCGACACAAACCTAATACCGGTCTTTTAATTCTCAGAAAAGGTAAGGCAGACAAACTAAAATAATATAACACACGAAGAGGAAAATAAAAAAAGAACCACCACAGCGCCCTCCGACCACCCACGAGGTCACTGCGCCCTGGCAAAAGAAAAGACACGTAAACTGTTATGTATACAATTCCACGCCCTTTTGGGCACAATTTACATCATTAGGGAGGTCTGTTAAAGGCCCCTCGTAAGCTAAAGTAAGTCAATGTAAGGGTTTAACGCCCCTTTCCAAACTTTTAGGTTATTTAGGAGTTGGGACCTCCGATTTTAACGTCCATCTCCGACACAACCCCGCCAAATGGCTTGGGAGCCTTGGAAACTCCACAAAAAGACCCGAATTCAAGAACGTTTAAGAGAGGATTCAATCGAACCCAGGCCGCCAGCACAGTAGTCCAGCAGGACATAAACTGACCGAACGGAGCGTCCGTCGTTGTCAACGACACAATTTAGTGGGTGGTTGGCGGGTGCTCTGGTGTGGTTTGCTACTTCTTTCCTATCAAACACATATCGTCCTTATCTCCCCTCCTTTTTTGTGTACGTTACTCTCTTGTAACATATTTTCTTCGGCACTTAAATGACCTTATTGTGTTGCAAGGACTGTAAAACTCTTACTAAAACTAAATTAAACGACACAATTTAGCTCAATTTGGAGGTGGATTGCAGGCCCAGCCCAGCCCGTCGTCACTCGAGATACAGTTAGTTTAAAAGATTAGGAAAATAAAAGGTCTTTGTCACATTTTGCTTTTTATTTTAGCAAGAGTTTTACGACACTTGCAACATATATTTTGGTCATAATATAAGTGCCCAAGATTAGAGATTTAACGAGAGAGTAACAAACAAAAACATGAAGGAGGAGAGATAAAGACGAAAGGTGTTTGACAAGAAAAAAGGTGGAAACCACATCAGGGTCACTCGGAAACAACCCACATAAAGGATCCAAGACACATTTTGCGGAAAATCGAGTTCTTAATATGACGCCATACGCCAAGGGACACAGCACAGCACAAAATTGGACAGAAATATCGTCTTCTTGACTTTCAATCAGAAGTAAGGCTTTTACAAATTACCTTAATTACGAAATACCTTACTTAGTAGTACAGAATGTTAAACATTAAGCTGAGATTTGTTTGGGGGGGGGGGGAGGGGGTTGGGGAG